GTTGATAAGTACGAGGGTACCTTTGAGTCGAGCTTTTGAGATGATTTCAATGTGCTTCATTGCAGCTTTCATCACTTTGTCTGCAAACACAGCGGGAAATCCACCTATTCAAAAAAACAAACAAACAACAACAACAACAACAGATGAGTTCACAGATTTTACATTTTGACTAAATATTGAGTTCCAGTTTATCAAACCTAAAGTTAAAGTCTTTATTGTGATTTTCACACTTAAATATAAATCAAGTCTATCCTCTGAAAATAACTCTGTGAGTCATGACTGTCTACAATGGGTGTAACACCGAGTCCCACTGTCTGTGATGTTTCAGAGTTTTCAGAGTCCTATCTTCACTTTGTTTACATCGGCGGCGGCCGGCTGACTCCTCCCCTCATGTATAAAAGTTTTAATTGAGGACTAGAGAAAAGAAGAATAACATACTGTACTCACTGCTTAACTGTGTTTCTAGATCACGCTCATTTCAGGTAAATTTACATGCAGTGTGAAGATACCAGCATAATAAAGATCACTAGCATTAGCATGCTAACACAACAATGCAGCGCGAGTTGTTTTGGTTTCATGCTGGAGCTCAAGGCGACATCTGCTGGATCAAAACATCACATATAAAGCCTTTGAATCTACTAAAAAAAACATCCTGAAGCAGAAGAAGAACCTGAAGGTACGAAACAACAAGCTGTATTTGACTTCATGTAAATTAGAAAGGAAGCAGGAAAAACCAGAACAGCTGATCTAACAAAACAACAACGTGTTAATTCAGAGTTCAAGTTGAACAGCTGAAACAATCAGTGAATGTTGATGAACAATAAACATCTTCGTTAGCTTTCAGTAAAACAACCTGCAGATGATTGATGCTCAAACTTTGTTATATCTTTAAAGATGCATCTCCTCTGACAGCTGCAGAGGAGAGTTTGAGCTTCACCTTCTGAGCGCGGCGGACGAGCACGGACGCAAAGAAGCGGAAAGTCATCCTCAGTTCATCCACGCACGCCTCGTCGTCTGTGATGTCCCTGAAAAGAGAAAAGAGACAGAGAGCGAGGAGTTAACCACAACGTCTCCCCAAGTGAGTCTGAGCTAAAACAAAAAGAGGTTTCTTTTTAAAGTCTCACCTGTACCAGGGTACACGAAGTTCTCCAGACTAACTCAAACACCTGCAGCACAAGAGTGTGAAGTCTTTACATACAGAGAGAGTTTCTATGTTCGGAGTTAAACAAAGGAGAAGTGAAGTCTGTGACGGGTACCTCTGCGACTGATGCGTCCACTTTTGAATGAACTTTCAGTCCAACCATGGCTGATGGTTTTCTAGGAGAAGTGTCGGCCTGCAGAGAAGAAAAGAGTCAACGAGTGAAGGAACGTTGATCAGGAGATCTTAATATTACTCAGATTTAACGTCCTGATTACATAATGGAGAAAAAACCTGATGATGCTCGCTCATAGACCAACATACATCATTTAGTTAATCTCTTGGTGATGGACGACTAAACAGAATCTACAGATGACTCAGAGAGTGAGGAGACTTGATTTATAATTATTCAATCTTGTCTCGATCCACCTCTGAAGAATATTAACCTCCTGCATGGACACTGAATGTGTGTCAAGTGTCCGCTCTCATACAGCGTGCGTTATTTCAGTAAGTCGAAGGTTTTCCCTGACTGTTAGTAAAACTTTGAAACTCCACAGGTTCTTCTTGAAGCCTTAACGTTGTTGTTCAAGTCAAGTAGAACATGCACAGCTCCTACATTTCACCTTTTGTACATTTTGTGTTTTTTATTTTTATATTTTTAAATTATTTATTGTAATATCTTCTTATTCTGTATTATTTAAGTTGTTGCTAGTTCTGCTTTTATTCCTTGTTAATTGTTTAGCACCAATACACCAAGTGTAATTCCTCGTATGTGTAAATGTACTTGCAATAAACCCAGATTCTGATTCTGATTCTGATTCTGATTCTGATGTCGCTGCTGTGAAGAGAGACAGCACCGCGGTGAAGCAGCTTCTCAACTCCCCGATCGCTCTATAAAACAGACATTTAAACTCCACGGGGCTCTGATCAGATATAACTGGACCCCTCGTGGTTCAGGGTTTAATGCAGATGTTTGGGAAAGTTGTAAATTTCACTCATTTTTACTCAAATCCTCGGTGGAGGAGAGTTGTTGGGATGCTGTAAAGCTGCAGATATCATCTGCAACATTTGAATATTTAACATCTTCCTTTTGCTCTTCTCAGTTAATACGCATCCAAGAAACATATCCCATTCAGCTTGATATGTTTGACACTGATAATTAGGTTAGTGAGAAAAACTGAACACAGAAACAACAGAGCAGAATTATGAGAATCAGTTTCACACTTTAACCATGCATCCATTTCCTACCGCTTGTCCGAGGACTCACTCCCGTCTTGTGTTATTACATTCAGTGTTTTTTCTGCTCAGAGTAAACTTAAACTCACCGGTGACGTTTGCACTTGACCTTCCGCACACGGCACAGCTGTGTCCCAGAGGAAACAACTCCTGCTCCTGCCGCTGTGGGATCAAAAACACAGACACCACGTTTTTATTCATCGCTTACATCACCCACTCTGTTAAATATCAAGAGAGCTTTTCTTTCCCAAATGAACACTCGTAAAGGTGCCTCACACAGTATTTTAAACTTTAAAGATAGCACTCAGACTCACTTTGTTCCTGGGCTTCACGCTGAAGAAGATATTTGGAGAAGAGACTCTGGTCCGAGGAGCAGTAGAAAGTGATGACGCCAGCCAGGAAGGACCAGAACACCATCAGGATGTGGATATACCTGTGTGGATATTAAAACCTGGTGAGAACTGATGTGTTGCTCTGAGAAAATACCACTCTAGAATAGTGGAAATCGAAGTCAGATTTAAGTATGAGCGTCTCTCGATGTGTTTCAGGGGAACCTCCACACAGAGAGGACTCCTGAAGGACGGGATTCAAACCAGGAACCTCCACACAGAGAGGCTCCTGAAGGACGGGGATTAAACCAGGAACCTCCACACAGAGAGACTCCTGAAGGACGGGGATTCAGACCATGAACCTCCTCACAGAGAGACTCCTGAAGGACGGGATTCAAACCAGGAACCTCCACACAGAGAGACTCCTGAAGGACGGGGATTCAGACCAGAACCTCCTCACAGAGAGCTCCTGAAGGACGGGGATTCAGACCAGGAACCTCCTCACAGAAGGCTCCTGAAGGACGGGGATTCAGACCATGAACCTCCACCAGAGAGACTCCTGAAGACGGGGATTCAAACCAGGAACCTCCACACAGAGAGACTCCTGAAGGACGGGGATTCAGACCAGGAACCTCCTCACAGAGAGACTCCTGAAGGACGGGGATTCAAACCAGGAACCTCCTCACAGAGAGACTCCTGAAGGACGGGGATTCAAACCAGGAACCTCCTCACAGAGAGACTCCTGAAGGATGGGGATTCAGACCAGGAACCTCCTCACAGGGAGACTCCTGACAGACGGGGATTCAAACCAGGAACCTCCTCACAGAGAGGAACAGATCTAACCACTGCAGCAGATAATGGATGGATGTCCTCCAGTACTTTAACTCGAGTAATAATCTGACTGAGCAACTTTCACTTGTAGAGGAGTACCGTAAAACTTCAAATAAAAGCTCATCCCAATCAAAGACCTGGTCCCTCTTACTGACCTGGTGTCGCTGCACGTTTTGACAACGATGCATTCAGTGTCTAAATAGTTTGTGGAGCAGGACGCCACAAAAACAACGAGGAACTACAACATCTGTCCAAGAAAGACAGAATAATGCTTGTGTGTGTGCAGGATGTGAAACAGGTTTATAAGCTGCTCTACAGAGTAAGATCAAGTGAGTAATTTGTTTATCTTCATTTTTTTCCCTCTACACGCCCACATTCAACCATAAACGGTCAACGCACCACGCTGCTGCTGCATTCACCCTGTCCTCCTACAGCGCCAAAACATCCAGCGTATGGTACATATATAACTGTAGAAATACGCTAATAAATGAATAAATACATGTAAAAATATATAAATACTCTTTTTCATTAATAGAGTGTATTCATTATTTATTCATTGATGTATTGTTTTCAGCATTTATATATTTATTGATGCATTATTAATTTTTTATACATTACTGCATTTCTCCAAACATTTCTTCATTTATTATACTTTGGTCATTTTTTGTCCCTCAGATACTCGAACAGGAGTATTTACACTGTAACTCACAGTTTTGATCACATGACCCACCAGGTGTTAAAGAGATCATCTGATACCGTGCTCACTGAAGACACACACCTGAGCTGTGTCCTGGAGGTTACCTGTTGAGCAGCACCTGACACACACCTGAGCTGTGTCCTGTAGGTTACCTGTTGAGCAGCACCTGACACACACCTGAGCTGTGTCCTGTAGTTTACCTGTTGAGCAGCACCTGACACACACCTGAGCTGTGTCCTGTAGTTTACCTGTTGAGCAGCACCTGACACACACCTGAGCTGTGTCCTGTAGTTTACCTGTTGAGCAGCACCTGACACAACTTGAGCTGTGTCCTGTAGGTTACCTGTTGAGCAGCACCTGACACACACTGAGCTGTGTCCTGTAGTTTACCTGTTGAGCAGCACCGTCACAGAGATCACCTGAGCTGTGTCCTGTAGGTTACCTGTTGAGCAGCACCTGACACACACCTGAGCTGTGTCCTGTAGTTTACCTGTTGAGCAGCACCGTCACAGAGATCACCTGAGCTGTGTCCTGTAGTTACCTGTTGAGCAGCACCGTCACAGAGATCACCTGAGCTGTGTCCTGTAGTTTACCTGTTGAGCAGCACCTGACACACACCTGAGCTGTGTCCTGTAGGTTACCTGTTGAGCAGCACCTGACACACACCTGAGCTGTGTCCTGTAGTTACCTGTTGAGCAGCACCTGACACACACCTGAGCTGTGTCCTGTAGGTTACCTGTTGAGCAGCACCTGACACACACCTGAGCTGTGTCCTGTAGTTTACCTGTTGAGCAGCACCTGACACACACCTGAGCTGTGTCCTGTAGTTTACCTGTTGAGCAGCACCGTCACAGAGATCACCTGAGCTGTGTCCTGTAGTTTACCTGTTGAGCAGCACCTGACACACACCTGAGCTGTGTCCTGTAGGTTACCTGTTGAGCAGCACCTGACACACACCTGAGCTGTGTCCTGTAGTTTACCTGTTGAGCAGCACCTGACATACACCTGAGCTGTGTCCTGTAGGTTACCTGTTGAGCAGCACCTGACACACACCTGAGCTCTGTCCTGTAGGTTACCTGTTGAGCAGCACCTGACACACACCTGAGCTGTGTCCTGTAGTTTACCTGTTGAGCAGCACCGTCACAGAGATCACCTGAGCTGTGTCCTGTAGGTTACCTGTTGAGCAGCACCTGACACACACCTGAGCTGTGTCCTGTAGTTTACCTGTTGAGCAGCACCGTCACAGAGATCACCTGAGCTGTGTCCTGTAGTTTACCTGTTGAGCAGCACCGTCACAGAGATCACCTGAGCTGTGTCCTGTAGTTTACCTGTTGAGCAGCACCTGACACACACCTGAGCTCTGTCCTGGAGGTTACCTGTTGAGCAGCACCTGACACACACCTGAGCTCTGTCCTGTAGGTTACCTGTTGAGCAGCACCGTCACGGAGATCATGGACAGCAGCAGGAAGCAGAAAACCGGATACTGACGTCCAGTTTCTCTCAGGACGTCGACCTGCAGCCCCAGCTTCAGAAACCTTAAAATACCTGCCATCCTTCACACCTGTTGACACATGTTAGAGACACCTTTAACCTCTACACACATAAAGAGAGACTCACCTGTTTAAACTGACAACACCTGTAATGTAGCTGCTACACTTTAGCTAGCTAACGTAACCGTTAACGTTCGTTTGTTTTTTAAACTTACGGCGACAAAACCACCGGAAATCCTCTTCATATAAAAACAAACATTGTAGTCTTCGTCTGAAGCTCAGACTAGTCCACACGTTTATAAAAAAAGATTAACTTCCAGAGTTCTTCACTCGATGTTTTCATGTGTTTTAAAGTCGCTTCCTTGACAGATGGAATGTTTGCTAATCCGAGCGAGCCGGGGGTTGCCAGATCCGTCAGAGAAACAAGTAATCCACACAAACCGGCGGTTAAAATAGAAGCACGACTTGTACTAATGGTGTTACATTATGTAAATAAAATATCACTCTTTGCTTTGTTTTACATATGCATGTGAAATAAAGAGCAAGATAAGTTTCCTTAGTTTAAAGTTGTGGAAAGTAATGCGTCTGTAATGTGTTAAAAAATGTACTCTTTTTAAAGATTTAAACGCACTTGTGTATTTTTCTCCGCATACATGGCAACCCCGAACCGAACAACGTCACTTCCAGCGGAGCGATCCTTTTTATTTTATTTTGTTATTTTTTTAACCGTCTTTATTGACAAATTTAACATATACAAAAAATGTTTATACAAACTCTTAGAGGATAAACATACAACAGCAAAAACACAGGAACAAGTTAATCCAGATATAAATGAAGACTAGGGGGGATTATATATAAAAATCTAACTTCTCCAAAAGAAAACAAAAGGCAAATGTAAACAGACAACAAACTGGAGCAAAGACAAAACACTTCAATAAGCAGCAGAGCGATTCTGACTCTGGTGAATGTATGGATTTGATTTGAACGAGATGTAAACTCAGTGACCGCATGTATGTTTGAATTCATGTTTAAATGTGTTTCAGGACCATAAGAAATACTTTGAAATCAAAACCCTAAAATATGATGAGTTATTTTTTAATTGTGGTTTTATTTGTGAGCATGTTTCTGGATATTTCTTCTTTAAAACAAAATATTGATGTCAAAAAGATGGTTCAAAATCAGGACCTTGTGTACATCTTAATAGCTAAAGGGTGAAGTTGACTTGTAAACATGTTTTAGATTTATCAAATGTGAACCAACGAGGGTGGTCTGGTCACAGTACCTGAGAGTTTCACATTTCAATACAATTCTGGTAGATAATATCAAACGATATGGAGACCATAGCAACAGCAATAAAAGTCCTAGTCACCCATTATTTGGTAAGGTCTTGAAAAAGAATCTCTGCACACCTGAATGTGTGACAGGTGTGTCGGAGGACGACTCCCTACATCGTGCATTGTCTTTGAAATATTGCAGGAAAAGTCCAACACACGGTCTGGCCAATGCTTTGCTAATTTAAATAAGATATATTAACGTTATATCTGTATTTATAAATGATCGACACAAACCAGCCAGGATCAAAGTCAATAACTTTATTAGAAAAATAGGTTTAACTCACCTCACTGTACAGTATAAAACAATTCATTTGCAAGAATGCAAACACAGGTTAGCAAAACAAAAGAACAATTTGACCTTTAAACTTGACAACGCAACAGAGCCATCGCTGCACAAAGAAAATCAAACGTGTGACATGACGCTGAGTTTCATGAAAAACAAAACAACAAGGCAAAAAGTTAAAAAAACAAACTTCTCAGACACACGTGATGTTTAAAAAGAGCTCAAAGGAGAAATCCAAACTGATGCCAGTTATCAGGTCAACAGGTGTTGTTCAGATAGAAGTGATTGTACCCGACCTAAAAAGCCTCTGCATGTTTCTAATAAGCTCCACGAGCAGAAACGTGCTCAAACTAGGATCAATATTGGAGATGCTTTTGAAAAATGGAGAGAGGTTAGAACACAGAAAGGTTTACAGACCCATGCAGAGCTGGATAAACACTGAAGCTTCAGAGTCCACCACATGGTGACCTGTGTGAGCATCGAGGAGGAGGGGGGGGAGACAGCTCTCTATGATGTTTAGAATTTAGACTGCAGTACCTATTTTAAACACTAGGGGTCAGAGTTACATACTGCTCCTTTAATAACCAAAAAATGGAAGCATTATTCCTGCACAGGGTCTAAACTTCACAGTTGTTTTCTTTTAGTTTAAATGTGATTAAACATCTGTAGTTCTGTAGAACCGGGGAGAGAGAGAGAGAGAGAGAGAGAGAGAGAGAGAGAGAGAGAGAGAGAGAGAGAGAGAGAGAGAGAGAGAGAGAGAGAGAGAGAGAGAGAGAGAGAGAGAGAGAGAGAGAGGAGAGAGAGAGAGAGAGAGAGAGAGAGAGAGAGAGAGAGAGAGAGAGAGAGAGAGAGAGAGAGAGAGAGAGAGAGAGAGATTCAGTAAAAGGAGCCACAGGTTGGACTACAACCCGGGCCGCCAGCGCCCTCAAACTAAACACTTTAAAGGGGTTTTCAAAGCTTTTTTTAGCAGGAACCAATGAGCTTTGAGCGACATGACGTGGGGTAGAAATCGATCGGTTTGACTAAAACACGCCGTAAAGATCCTGTAAATCTTTAATCCCGCCTGTTTGCAGTTTGAACATGAGTTTGGATCGACTCCTTTAGAAGTCTTTACACGTTAGCTTCCTGTATTTCATGATCACTGACGGTGAAAAGACGTTTACTGTACATGGTCGACATCGTAGTTTATCATCGTGCTGTTTCTTTAAACCCCCCCCCTCCCCACAACGCCATCTTTGATTCCTACAAAACTTGCTTCCTCTACTTTACAGGAAGTGGAAATAAACAACACGTGTTTACAAAATAAAAGGCAGCTTCACACACGTTAGAGAAACAACACAGACGTTTGTGCAGAGACGTCGTCACATCGACAAAACCAACAAATACAAAAAGAAAAGAAAAACATGACAGCCTTCCTGTCATGGCCGACAGGAAGTTTCCAGGCGTTAAAAAGATTTCACATTTATAAACCAACACATCTGTACACTACATCATCACTCGGTTCATTTATAAAGACAGTAAGGGTCGACGTGTCCACCTGGAGCGAGGAGGGTGTGGCTTACAGGGCACGATCCCTAGGACACCAAAACACGGGGAATATATTTGGAAAAGAGCGCCTTTCAACTCAAAGTGCTCGGAGCAGCGGCTCAAGAGAGGACGCTCTCTACTCAAGGAAAAAGAACGTTGGCGCTCAGATACTAAACGGCAGGTGGACACGAGGCCTGAGGCTCATTTCAGGAAGACCAGCGAGCACGTGGACAGTAACTGAAGCCTGATTTATACTTCAGCGCTGAATCTTCAGTGAACGACGTGCTGAAGCGACACGGACAGCTACAGCTGGGATCAAAGCCGGACGCAGCGACAGCGGCCAACAGGCTCGTTTGCCGCTTGCTTTTGTGCGTTGTATCGTCACCTGTTTGGATACCAAAGCAGGAAAAACAGAAGTCGGAGGGATCTGAAAATCCTGCTCACTGTCGCTGCAAGTTTCAGTGAAACACAGAGGTGACGTCTCTGTACTGAAGTGTTGCCAATAAATGTAAATTGCAAATACTTCGGCAACGTTTTCTGCAACTTATGTAGAGTGCATTTCCTCTCTGACGAGCCTTTCCTATTTGATTTTTGTAATTGTGTTTTTGCTAACTCGTATTGCCCTTTTTGATCTCTTTGTTTCTGATGAATGCTTCTTCATGTGATTCCTGTATGTAAGTGTTTTCTGTCTGAAACCCTGTAACTGTGCTGCTGTCTGTCTTCACCAGGACGCTCTTGTAAAAGAGATTTTTTAATCTCAATGAGACTTTTTCCTGGTTAAATAAAAATAAAAGCTTTGGTACTTTAAGATACTCATTAAAATAAAAAAGGTTGTTTTTTTTCTTCCAGTAAATTAAACTGTTGATTAGCTTTAGTCAGCTCAAACATTATACGCTCAGTTAACTCAGAGAGAGAAAGCTGGAGAAGCTGAGCGACTTCACAGAAGAACAAAACGTCAAACATCTGAATGTTTCTCTCTTCACCCGGAGTTTCTCCTGCAGACCTCCCTCCTCATATTTATTCAGCTCAAAGAGTGAGCTGATGTGAGAACGCATGTGACATGTATGAAAACGTCACCAGCTGATAGCATTTTAGCGGTTAGCGTAGTCATCTTACTTTGACTGTGGAGAGGTTCAGCTTTGATTCAACACAAATATAAATCAGGCTTTGGACTCTTTAAGTGCTCCGTTGTTTGTGAGTCTCTCTGAGGGTGGAGGGGAACGGGGGGGGGGGGGGGAATCAGGAGAGTCCTTCAAACTGAGGTAGTTAACAGACCCTCGTTTGGTTTCCCCGGAGCGCCCGACCTTGAACAGCGGGGGGGCGGTCTTAAAAGCGCCTCCCTTCTCTGGTACAAACAAATCCAGAGCATTCAGGAGCAGAATCTAAAGTTAGAAGGAGGACATACTGGCTGGGGGGGGGGGGGGGGGGGGGGGGGGTGATCACACGTCAACACTCGCTCTGATACTCAGACATGATCGAGTCTAGTCCATCATAAGAGCTTTAAAAACACTAAACACTCCAAACCTTAACAAAGTGCAAAGACTTTTCCAAGAAGGACGTCCATCTTGAACTTGAACTCCGGCTCAGTCAAGTCTGAATTAGCATATTTGGGGGGAAAAGGCGGGAGGGGGTTAAAACTTCATAAAGCAAGCTCTTGGTTTGCTCTTTTGATTATCTTGAAATGTGGCTGTTTGAAAGAGTCAAAAAAAAAAAAGAAAGTGAAAAAGAATATACCATTGGACCCTCTGAGTCAGGTGACCTTACCATCCCGTCCACTGGCGGCCTTGTAGTGTGTGACGCCGAACACGGGGTCACACGGGGTCAGTCTTCATAGCGACACATCAGGACCGGCCTCGACCCCTTTTTCCTGCTAGTCAGGTAACAAAAGGAAGCAGTTAGAGAAATGAAAACAGGATCATGTCACATCTACACACAATCTACTATTGTCAAAACAGTCATCGGAGGAGGAGGAAAGGGCTGTGCAACAACAGGAAGTCTGAGCATTCATTAAGACGGAGCATTCTCTCGGGGGGGTCGCTGCCCCGCCGATCAACATGCAACATGACGATGCCTTAAAGATTGTTTGAGGTGCAGCAGGTGAAACGTGGACAAACAGGCAGAGAGAGAGAGAGAGAGAGAGAGAGAGAGAGAGACGGGAGGTTAAGAGCAGCCGGTTTCATCTACTGAAGCAAACTGAACAGCAACACTACAAGCTAGCATGCTAGCAGTTATCGGGCACATTAGCACGACATCGACCTCCAGAGAGACATGCAAAGATTAGTATCCAGGCCTTCAACAGCTAGATAGATCCTTCTGGGACAAGGAAAGAGCCCCACTTTGGGTAGAGTTATCAAATTGTGTTTTTAACCCCCCCACAGAGGGAGGGGGGGGGGGGGGGGAGGGGGCTTAAACTTG